TAGATCTATGAACTCGTAATTCACCTCCTCTTTACGTCTTCGTATTAAACACTCTACACTACTCTATCAGTCCTGTTTCTCATCTACACTTTCTAGCTACATTTTTAGAAAAGGCGTTATACACACATGACTTCCTGACTGTAATTAAACCCGAATACAAAAACTTCCTGCATTCAAGTATAAAGAAACCAGCCATTATTTCTGCTCTTACATTTGGACTTTATAATCCCAACAACAGCAGATTGATAGTGGTGGGATTAGAACTCACACCCTTCTGATCCGCAGCTCCTCAAATACTTACTTTAGAGATTCGTGCTGTTGTAATGAGGTCTGCTGCTGAGCTTAGCGCCGTGCTTCACTTCTAATACTGGTCATGTTTGGGCGCATAAACAAGGTGGAGCTGGTTAAAACGTTTTCTGTGAGGAGCAAAACTGAACTTAGCAATAAATGATAGAACATTTATGTAGTAAATTAATGTAGTCTGCCGTGAGCACGCACACATAAAACTTAGCTGATTCCTTTTTTAAAAAAAAAAAAAAAGAAAGCGCACTTACCAGGCTGTTGATTGAAAATAAACACAGAGTCGTGTTGGTTTCACTTCTAATTAAATGCCCCACCTTCTGAGCTGGAGCTTCGGCTGCAGTTGGACTTAGCTTTCATTTTCTGGGAAATGCTCCACCCTGGATCAGCAGGAGGATGAATACACCAGCAGATGGGCTTGAATCAGTCTCATTTCTAAAACATTACTTATATTCCATCATGTAAAGCTGCATTACTTTATTCAGAGCAGGTTTTAACTGTAAACGGGTTAAACGTTTCAGATGATGCCTCCTAACCACTGCAGGGTTTGAGACTGAGCCTCATGGACCATCACCCTGCAGAGGGGCATGTAGAGGGACGATGCCGGAAATGACGTCTCCTCAAAGCAGGCTAGTGTTTTCACTTGGAAGAGGCATTCACTCTGTGGTTAGTTGGTGAACTTTGACCTTTGTATTCACAGATCTCAAACTAGTGATCTGTACACAACAAAATGGAGAAGTTTCTCATTATTATTTTATTAATGTCACTTAATAATCCTGAAAGAAAACAGAGCCGTACTTATGGTGTTGTAACGTGACGTGTGAGCAGAGAGGAGTGGAATCATTTTGTGATTATGGACAGTGTAGAGTCAGCTCCTTTCCCAGGATGGGTTTAAAGATCACCCGTAACCACAGTGATGATCTCAGAGCAGTGTGTAATCACTGATTCCCTGATTGGATCCTGGATCAGGGTGGGGCGGGGTGTTTACAGCCACAATTATGCGGCTCAAAAATTTAGGACAAAGCCTCCTCTTGTTGATAAAAATTATGGGGAAAAAAACTCACTGGTGTGTTTAATAAAGAAATGTGAAAGTGAAAGTAAGTTTTATATATATATATATATATATATGCAAATATAATTTTACTTTTAAACTCAAAAGACAAACATCCCTTCCTCCCCACATACGACCTTGTCACTACTCGTTTTCCACCTGCTTTCTACACACATGACGTAGTGAGTACGATGCTGGCTGTCAGTGTTCTCATGAGCAGTGTGATGAACAGGATTAGGTTTAGGTTTGGAAAATGTCTGTTAAATTTCAAATAAGTGTCAAAAATAACTATTTTTATTTCAAAAAGCCAAGTACATTCGATACATGATAGAGAGTAGCTATGTTTTGTCATTACAAGCACTTAGAAAAACCTTCATCTGCATCCAATCAGTAAGAGAAAGTACATGTAGCATCTAAAGATTTCCTTCCTGAACAATCGGCACCTTCAGCACTGTCACGGCTCCTCGCTGTTCCTCTCTGTCCGGCAGCACGTCGTCAGCACTGACAGGCTGAGGTCACGTCTCACAGCCACGTGTGCTGCTGGCTTCCAGTTCCTGTTTTGCCTTTTAAGTAAATCCAGAATTTGTTAATACAGAGGACTGCAGCACTTGTTTCCACATCAATTTTTAAAAAATGTCTTACAACATAGCCACAATTATAAACACCAAAACTTACATTTTAAATCCTTCTTCACTGTACAGCAGTCACGCCGTCCACTGGGGAGAGATGAGCTTTTACACGATATTCATTCCATTTACTTCATTCATTTTTCTTAAATATTTCAAGAGTACAAATCTATTGTTATTAATAAGAAGAGAAAATCATTTACGTGTCATTTTTGGGCCCCAAACCTCAGATTTTATTGCATTCAGTGGGTTCAGATTTCTTTCAGGACGAGGCTTCCTGTACTTCTAACCTGCTTATGTGTGTTTTTAGCAGAGCTTGCTGGAGGCTAGTCTGTAGAATTACTGAGAGAAATGCAGTAAAACCTTTCAAATGTAAAAACCCATACATTAGGTTAAAGCAGTTGGTTAAAACTGGCTTTGGTCCACACACACACACACACACACACACAATGCTACCTTTTCTGACTGAGTTTGTTATTTCGCTCGATAACTGATGTTTGACCTCTTTGAAGGTGATATAGAATATAGTGGTTTTTCAGACTTTTTAATGCTACAGTCATGAGAGTTGCCTCTTAAACTTCTCGCCCCAGAGAATCGCACAAAGCCGTTTCTTTCTCACAGTCACGTCGGTGGGAAATGAGTGAAAGCTCACGTACAGATGTTTGCGTGAGCCATTTAGAGAAGCTGCAGAGATTGCATGCTGTATTTCACGCTCAACTGAAGCTCTCAGAAGCTACTATTTCTGCTTCTGCTTCTGCTTCTGTAACATGGGAGTTTGAAAAAGTAGCAGTAATAGTGTAATAGAGTTCCTATGACGCACAAAAATGATAATAACAATAGTATTTACTTTAAATGATGCACGGTTTTACATTCAGCTGGTGGCCTCCTGCTTAACTGGAAAGGTGTCCAAAGTTTTTGCACATGCCACAATCACTACTTTTTATTTTAAAGTTCCACAAATATAAATATAACATAAATATATAAATGTACTGTAAGTATAAATATAAAGGTAAATATAATATAGAATATAACTGCATAAACATTTTAAAATAAACATTTTATTTAAAGAGAACCTCTTAAAATAAAGCTGAAAGTCTACACTTTGATCACATCTTGATTGTTTTATTTCAATCATTGAGTATAAAGACACACAAACTCACACAAACTCCGTCACTGTCCAAATACTTTCGGACCTGACTGTGTGTGTGGTTGATTTATGAAGTGGAAAGAAGCAAACACCTCTGCAGCAAACTATGTATAAAAATAATATTATCTGCAAATGTTTATGCAGTTACATTCTATTTTATATTTACCTTTATGTTTTATTCTGTATCTCAGGTGTGATGCTCGGGTACCGGAGAGGTCTGGAGGAGGACAGTGTAGAGGTGAGAGTGGCTTCATGTCGCCGCCTGCAGGTGAGAGCCGGGAACTGCAGGCTGTTTAATGCGGAGAGACTCACTTCCGCCTCCTGAGAGTGACTTTAACATGCCAGTGTGTTAATATTCTGAGCGCGAAGGCGACATACACATTTCTGTAAAGATAAATTGTTATGTAAAGTTTGATATAAATAAAATCATGTTAGTAAATAAAGCACAAATCGAGCGAAAAGCTTGGCGGTTGTCCGCGCGCGAATATGACGTCTTGCCAGGCACCGGAAGTAGAATTGTAAACAGTAATAGTGGGCGGGGCTTGTAGTGTCTCAGGCAACGGTTTTCTTGCAGATATTTTTTTTCTGCAAAGTCTCCTAAAACAAAAACAAACACAAATAAAGAAATAAAGAAGCTCGGATCCGAGTCGCATCCCGTCATTAGCGCTAACACTGTGAGGAGGAGAGTTTTAACCACAGCGCCGCGGCTTCAGGTACAAACCTCTCTGCTGCACTTTAGCGTTAGCGAGCTAGCTTAGCAGGCTAACAGGCTAACTTTCAGCGCACTGTAACTGTAACAATAATACACTTTATACACACTCATAATAACTGCAATAATAATAATATATAACATTAATGTAGCTGCGTTTATAATCACACACACGGCTCTGTAGAGGATTTATTCTGATTTATGCAGAGTTTATTTATTATTGTTTATCAACACACACACACACACACACACCGTGCACTTAAACTCATTATAATATCACATAATTAAAATGAAAGGAGTTAGAGTGCGGATATAACAGATACACCTACACATGCAGAGGGTACAGAGAACATTTACACTGGATGAGAAACTGAGTGAAGTTTAACAGAATAAACCAGCTGAGAGAGAGAGACTCAGAGAGAGAGAGAGAGAGAGAGAGAATCAGAGGGAGAGAGAGAGACTCAGAGGCAGGGAGAGAGAGAGAGAGAAAGGGGGAGAGAGACTCAGAGAGAGAGAGAGAGACAGGGGGAGAGAGATGGAGAGACTCAGAGGCGGGGAGAGAGAGAGGGAGAGAGACTCAGAGAGAGGGAGAGAGACAGGGGAAGAGAGAGACTCAGAGAGAGGGAGAGACAGGGGGAGAGAGGGAGAGAGACTCAGAGAGAGGGAGAGAGACTCAGAGAGAGAGA